GAATGGGAGATGAGTCTGACCTAACCACTACTTTAATATCATATGGGGGTTCTATCTATCTATCGGCTATCCCTACAATTTTCGCGAAACAAAGAATACGTCGGCCGAATACCTAAGCGCTACGTTCGGTTAGAAAGTAAAGTACAAGTAAGTATAAGCACGACAAATACTAGAGAAAGCATCTTGGGGGGGCGAGGGCATTTGGCACGAGGAAAACCGAGCACGGACGTGAAGGATTCGTGATTTTCTAAAAGCGGAGGGAAAATGAGGTTGGAAGGGTTCAGACTTAACGTTACTGTGACGGCCGATAACATCTAAGAACTAGACCTGCTGCCTACCTCCTAAGGCAGGTTATCTCATGAGGAGTTTGAATTTGCTCATCTACGTTTATTTTTATTTTACGTACCTATGGGAAGCGAGTGGTAGGGGGTTGGCGTTTGTACGGCCTAAGACGAGACGTTATATATGGGCCTGCTTGGGTAGCATATTTCTCAACTCTCGAGTGTGTATTTATGAATGAAGATAATGTTACTTAAACTAACTAGTTATTTAAAAAGTTTACTTTCGATTTATTATACGAGTCCCCTTGTGTGTATATATATAGCGCAGCTATGTGTGTATAGTTGGCCCATAAGTGCAGATAGGTATTCATGTAAATACATGAGAGAACTACCGTAATTCTATCGTCGGTTTCATCATGATGTAATCAATTACAGATTAGGCAAAAGCATAACGACGATTCAACGTTTCGGAGTTCGTCACAAGCGCTCAGCAATATGTACGTCGCATGCAGCCAAGATCCCAGTTGCTTGCCTTAGCGTTGCTCCGGCCCATATCTATTGAGAACCTCACCAGAATAGCCTCTTCTAACAAATTACTACTTGACACCGAAAGGTGTGCCACTCAACTTGTCGTGTGACTTTATTCTGCCTCACTTCTCCTAAGCAACTCTAGGTGCTCTTATCTATCTAAGTCCGACCTATGCATACATACAACTTGTAAGACATTAGGTACCTTACTTACCTACTTACACCTATCAAACATGGCTCAACACGAAGCCTCAAGCCCCCAACTGCACCCCGGCGATCAGCACGAGATCCCCAGCGTTGAGGCCCACGGGTCCTTCGACTCGCTGAAGGACAGGATCAAGACGCATTACGAAATCGCGTCGGACTACTACTACTCATTATGGTATTTCCCGCCTCTCATTTCGTCATTATTTCCGGTGCGGAGCTAAGCCCGACATTTACTCATTCATTCATTCATTCGTTCGTAGGGGCCAACATATCCACCACGGGCTCTTCAAGTCCGCCGACGAGACCAAGGAGCAGGCCCAGGTCAATCTTATTAATTATCTGCTGGAGATATCGGCTCTGCCCGCTGGCGCCAAGGTCCTGGACGTCGGCTGCGGCGTCGGCGGCACGAGCCGGTTTCTTGCGCGCGAGCGCGGTTGCACGGTCACGGGTATTACGATTAGCGGGCGGCAGGTCGAGATCGCGAGGCAGATAACTGCGACGGAGACGACGGGCGGCTCCGCGCCTACCCCGGGAGACTTCGCGAAGTACGCCGACGAGGCGGGGAAGGAAGGGAGGGGGGGTAAGGTCCGCTTCCTCGAGCTCGATGCCGAGAAGATGCTGCATCACTTCCGTCCGGCTGCCGGCGGTGAAGCGGAGACATTTGACTGCGTCTGGATATCGGAGGCGCTGTCACATCTGCCAAATAAGGAGCTCTTTTTTTCTTCATCGTTTTCCCTGGTGAAGAGCGGAGGATTACTCGTTATTGCCGATTGGTTCAAGGCGCCGGTTCTATCGCCCGAGCAGGAGAGCGCTGATATCAAGCCCATCGAAGACGGCATGCTACTCCCCCGCCTCTATACGGCGGACGAGTATGTTGCGTTGGCGGCGCAGGCGGGATTCCGAGCCCGTAAAGAGCCGGTTGATATAAGCAAGGATGTCGCTAAGACATGGTAAGTTACTTCAACATGTAATATACGAAGTCCGGGAGCTGATTGTCACATAGGGATATATCATGGTCCTTGGTATCCTCGCCCTCACTCTGGGCCTTTGCCATATCGCAGGGTAGGGATGGGCTTGCGTTCTTGCAGGCGTTCAGGGCGATGAGGAGAGGTTATGCGAATGGGACGTTTAGATACGCGGTCATGTGTTTTGAGAAGCCTTGAGTATGGAAATGTGATGATAGAGGGGAACAGAGTGGGATATATATATATGCTGTTTGTGAGATTGATAGAGTAAGTGCACGTAGCTATCATCCCCTAACCAATATGTAAACATTAGCCATGAAAATATGCAGTAAGATAGCGTGATACCTACTACTCACGTCACTTATCTGATTTATTACATGAGGCGGCGCTGTTGCTCAGCTAAGTTACGAGCTGTATTATATTAAGCAAACAATTGAGGATAATATCGTTAGTCGAAGAAACAACGCGCCGAGCCGTAAAACGTAAAATTTTAATCGTGCCCCATGCTTGGAGGATTCACGTCAGAATACAACACAATGTTACTAAATTCGTCTTTGAAGCCCAGCCGAGTTTAACACTTACTAAGATGGACTTTCATCTGAAATATTTAGCCGCATCGTGACTATTTTGCCTAACACCGAGACGGTGATGGGCAAATCAGTGGATGCTGATCTGTATCTGGCAATAATCATAACGGCATAGTTGACGAGAGTTCGGTACATAAATGTGATAGATAATGTGCCCTTTGTATCAGCAAAATGCCCATACTAATGAGACTGGGAGCTTCTGAAACTTTGAGCAACAAACTCCTGGTCGTCCAAGCTAGGTATTGGCACGTTACGACATGAAGAAGTTTGCCCTACTATGTATTGTCCATTAAAGGGCCATGCATTAAGAAGCAAAGAGTCAAGACAAGCTCAAAAGCCAAGAAAGCAGGGTGTACCCTGAGACAGCACATCGGTAGACGAGCTGCAGTGCGGGCATGGCATGGCTACATGTACAATAGTAGCACCGCTAATTGTTGACCGAATATATTCGGACGACTTTCTAGAAGCAAGCGCAGCGATCGCGGCCATGGCAAAAGGGCCATTTCGTTAGTCACGATATTGAAAATGCTCACCGTTGGCTATTGTGGATTTCTCATTAGGCTCGAGCGGCGGTCATGCGCACGTCGAATGGAGCTTTACGACTCTGAACGATTAGCCTAGGCCTACAAATGCCTGTCTACCTACATACATACATAGGCACCTACGTAGTATAGTGTATCTCCGCAGTCTGGTCTGGAGAAGCTTGATTGATGACCAAGTGGGGAATAGTTCAAGCTGCATGAAAGATGAAAAACTGTAGGGTTCCCGGTGACGGTGAATCTGATGTTTGAGCTCAGTGGAGACATTTCCATGCTCTCCATGCTCGGCGGCTTGGGCTTGGGCTTGGGCTTGGAGTGGAGAGATTGGACGGTAGGGCACTGACAGGCTGGGCGGTTCATCAGACGAACTGGAAGGGCCTAAAAGAATCAACGGTCGCTAATGACGACTACATATTCCCTATTTCTTCCGACGGGTTTTGGTATTGTATCTAAGGTAATGCGGTGAACATACCACATAGCTCTCATGTATGGTTCGGCCATCTTGAAATTCTTGTTGAATCTGATCTGATGTGTTAATCTAGTTGAAACTACCAGGTATGTACGGATCCGTACCTAAGATAGTCTTGACTAGAACTCGGTGAGGCTGTTAACAGACTTACATACAGCAAAAAACTAGCCACGCCTGCCACGCACTCGGTCGGTAAAACCCAAGCCTCGTGGCATTTTCAGATCGGAAGAACCCGGGTTACTCACAAGGGTTTGTACAAGATTCGTCAGCCCTGTCAGCCCCATCCTTCGGCGCGGTCATACCTTGCAATATCGTGATCAATTTCGGGTTGGCCCTGGATTGGGCTTCCAGAAGTCAAAGCAAATTTTTTTTTTTAAATGAACGGGGCCATGGTCAAGTCAAGTAAAGTAAAGGAGTTTGCTTAGGCACCTTAGCATTTATAACATTACATTACTTACGTATGTAGCAGCAGATAGAAGCATGATTTAGCTGGTCAATCATACAATATCTCGAATCATGATCTCCCGTTATTTCCATTTGGAAATGTCATATACCCTCTTATCCCCGGATCCTTGTCCTTAAGGCCTCCAACCGTTGACCGGTCACAGAGGATCTTACGAAGAAGGAAGCCTCTTGTGATCTGATCCATCCCCAACTTTTGAGAAGGGCGCGGGCGGTTAGAAATGCTAGGTACGCCTAGATTACCTGTACGTTATCGAAATCGAATCAGATCAGAAACATTGGACGGTCCCAAGTCGCAAATCCGACTTATGCAGGGACGGGGAGATAGAGCTCAATTGGTTGTATCTCGGACCAGTCACTAGAGTCGGGACTGCGGGATCGACGGACATGCAACGTCAAGGATCAGGGAGAATCGGATGCACCCCAAACTTTTTTTCGGAGTCCGTGTTGCGACATGTCATACCTACAACTCATACATCTCATACATCTCATACATCTCATACATCTCATACACTAGAAATTTCGTGAATGTTGCTGTCGCTGACGAGAAGGCGCTCCGTGGCAATTCCTGGGGGTTGAAGACTGCAGAGCAATCGTATCATAATCAGCCACAGAAAAGGATGAAGCAATACATAGGCGTTCTTCATGCCCAAGTCCGTATATGAGGTAGGTACGTATTGCTTATGCTTTCTCTCAACGTCGGTAACTTGGCAGGCTTGATCATGTGAAGGGCAGCCGATGAATAACTCTTCCTTCGTCTTAGCTACCTACCTTTGGGTTTAGGTATCAAGGGGGATCCACGTCCCGCGTCCCACTAGAAGTCATTTTGTATTGTACATAGTCCCATAGTCCTTAAGGCTAACTAGTCTAGTCCTAAGGATCGTTCCCCGGGCCTAGTAATTACGAACTGCAATTAGAAGCTTTCCTTATTTAGCGTACCCTTCTTTTTCAGTTTTCAGTACGCACAATAACGACCTAACCTAGCATATTCCAAGATGGAGTATTGTATGGAGGTCATAACCTTATGGGATAACCCTACGGTGTGTGTAATGCCTGTCTGTACTACGTACTTTCGAACGTACTTTCGATGGCTCTTACACATACATAGCATCATGTAGGTATGCGGTATGTAAGTATGTACCGGCGTACATTCGTACGGCAGTCTCTTGATTTTCCCTTGATCGGATCCCAACAAAATTTTTCCGTCATCTTTCTTAGAAAGAAGAAAAGAAATTCGGAAATTTGCTGAGTATTTGTCTATCTTGACTTGGATTCTTTTTTTTTCTTCCTGTCGTTAGATCTATTAGTTTGTTTACATCGACTCCTCTATAGTTCTTCTGAACTTTACCAGTTGCCCGTTTCGGACGTTGCTTTAATTGATTTATGCTTCTTTACGTTGCTTTTTTACTCAAGACTCAAGATAAAGTATAACTTTTTTTTATCCTTTCGATTGGAGGATACCCAACTACTCGAATCTCGGTACGGCCGTGCTTCGTTGGTACTCTCGTACCGAACATACCCTTTTTTGCCTTTCCCTCTCTTCTTATTCGTTCCGTAACTTGCCGATCAGCCGCCCCCTTAGCTCCCCCTGGGCTCCTGGGCTAATAACGAAAATACTACAGCGATCTGGTCCTAGTGTTTGATCCCCTATGAAACCCCAACGAAACCCCAGTTCGCCCTTGTCACAGCTTACACGGCTCCGTGTTAGCGGTCGTCCAGCGGCAGCGAATGGAGGTCTGAGAACGAAGGCATACGGAACCAGGACCCTTGGTATTCCTCATGCTCTTCCTCATGCTAGAACTAGTGCTGGCACTCATCCTGACGCCGGCTTGCCGGTATTGTTATTAAGAAGCCCCATCCCGTCTGCACATGGCCTCATCGACGACCTCGTAGTTGGGCGGACTTTTATTAAACAGCACGGCAATAATACAAGAAATTACACGAATACTCTTCGGGATAGTAATCAGCAGACACACCACATCATTCACCCACCCGAACCTAGTTCCTTGTATTCCTTGCATTCCGGACTTTTCTCTTGCACCACTACTGGTAGTGATATCCCAAAAGGGGAACCATCGTCTTTGCCCACTGCTCCATACCCGTCCACATTGTCTTCAGCCAGTTCTAGTTCAGATAGCGTCAGCTGGATCGGACAGTCCCCTATTAGCCCTGCACTTCCGTCTTACCCCATCAGCTCAACATCCAACCGTTGTCTTTTAATACTGGCACGCCACCCGTCACCGCGACGTCCAATGGCGTTTAATACTTACAGCACCGCCAGTTCAGATATATCAACGCCTCGCTCGTCTTCTCCTTCTTCCTTCTCTATCGCGTCTGCGCGTTCATCTCATACTTCCGTCTCAAGTAAACGCCTGTCCTTATCCCTGCAACGGAGGCAATCTGCGCTTAACCCAATGTCCTCGGTCGATATCTCTGCAATTGAAGAACAGATGAAAATGGCTGCACTAGACGGCCTTCGAGGTTACGCACAGAACCACTACGGCGAGGTCCAACAGTACCGAAGCACAGATTACATCCCGCAGTCCGCCGCTGGTGGTTACCAAATATTACGGGAGCCTCTGTGGAACAAAGGTATTGCGCCGAAGTTTTTTTTTTATTTTTTTTTATAAACAATATAAACAAGCCCACCCCTTGCGATTGCTTTTCTACTAACACCCAAGCTATCCAGGACTCTCTTTTACCCCAGATGAGCGTGTCTCTAAGAACCTCACAGGTCTAATGCCGCATGCCATGGAAAACGTTGAGACTCAGGTCGCCAGGTGCATGAAGGTCATCAACTCCAGGCAGACCAACGTTGACAAGTACCTGTACCTGTCGCATCTCAAGACTCAGAACTTGGATCTGTTCTATAGAGTACTTATCGACAATGTCCGTGACCTAATGCCGCTGGTCTACACTCCTACTATCGGTGATGTGTGCTTGCAGTACTCTACGCTTTACACTCATCCGGAGGCGTTGTACATATCGATCAAGCAGCGCCGGTCAATCAGGACAATCCTGCGTAACTGGCCTTATCCGGACCCCGAAATCTGCGTGGTAACGGATGGATCCCGTATTTTGGGGTTGGGCGATCTCGGTATGAATGGTGTGGGGATTTCCGTAAGTTCCACCATCTTGGCTTACACTTGGCTTACATTAGTGTCCCGTGAAATCTGAGGCTGAAGGCTGACTTCTGTTTAGATCGGCAAGCTGGCTTTGTACACCGGTGCCGCCGGTATCCACCCCGGGAAGACCCTACCAATCGTGCTGGACTCCGGTACCAACAATGAGGCTAACCTCAAGGACCCCTTCTACCTGGGTCTCCGGGCTAGACGCCCTTCGCCGGCTGTTGCCCAGGAGTTCATGGATGAATTCATGGAGGCTGCCGCCGAGGTCTTCCCCAACATGCTCGTCCAGTTTGAAGACTTCGAGACCGAGAAGGCCTTCAACTACTTGGCTCGTTACCGTAACAAGTACAAGTGCTTCAACGACGACATCCAGGGAACCGGTGCCGTCGTGTTGGCTGGGTAAGTAGCTCAAAACTTCACCATACCCTTTCGTCATTAATTGCTTACATGCTATTAGCTATATTGGCGCTGTGAACCTATCCGGTGTTCCCATTGAGGAGCAGCGTCTAGTATTCATGGGTGCCGGCTCAGCCGGTGTTGGTGTCGCAAAGCAGATGGTCGAGTACTACACCCGTCGCGGCCTCTCAGAACAAGCTGCGAAAGAGAAGTTCTGGCTTGTCGACACCAAGGGCCTAGTTACCACGGACCGAGGTGACAAGTTGGCGGATCACAAGAAGTACTTCGCCCGGTCGGATAACAACGGCCACCAATTCCGCACGCTCGAGGAAGTGATCGAGTATGTGAGGCCGTCTGCCCTCGTTGGCCTTACGGCAACTTTCGGTGTCTTCACTGAATCTGTCGTTCGTGCCCTCAAGGCTTCGGTCGACTCTGGTGGCTCTGGAAGACGACCCATCCTTTTCCCTCTCAGCAACCCTCTCACCAAGGCTGAATGCACATTCGAGCAAGCAGTCCAATGGACAGATGGTACCGTCATCTTCGCATCCGGTTCTCCGTTTGCGCCGTTCGCCGTCAAGGCTGGCGATCACGCTGTGACGTACTGGCCGAACCAGGGTAACAACGTTTACGTGTTCCCTGGTCTAGGTCTCGGTGCTATCCTCGCCAAGGCGTCAAAGATCACCGACGAGATGGTCTACATCTCAGCTTCCTCGTTATCCGAGTCCTTAAATGCCGAAGAGGTTCACAAGGGTTTGATCTACCCCCACATCGAGCGTGTCAGGGATGCCAGCGTCGTCGTCGCCCGGGAGGTGATGAAGGCTGCCCGCAGAGAAGGCGTCAGCACTCTACCCGAAGAACAGTGGGTTGAATGGGAAGAATGGGGCGACGTCGCCCTGACGAAGTACATCAAGGAGAGGATCTACGATCCCCTCAAGTAAGAACGTGGCTTCGCATGACGAAGTATGCATAAGATAAGATTCATGGTCGGCGTTATTGGTATTATTTTTTTCCCGTATTTGGGTCTGGCATAATGATTATTACGCTTCGCTTCTGACGAAGGCACTTTCGGGGATATCCTTGGGGGTCTCAGCTACTTACATGGGCACTATGTCGAGGGATTTTCCGAGTCCGTGGATAGAGCATGGAACTTGTTAAAAAGGGAAGGGAATAAACAAGACCGCGATCTAGACTCAACGATATAAGGGTCGAATAGATGGACTATATAGATCAAAATAACACTTTCATTCACGTAATATCTGTTGTCTTCTCAACTCTATAGGTGCCTACTAGGTAATCCTGGATCCAATAGCAAGTCGCTCGTAGTCTATAAGCGACATGCCGCGAATAGGAAGACTATTATAAATATGCACTGACAGTAGATAAGCTGTCAAGCTCCTGACCTCATAGAATTTCTCCATCAATCGTATCATCTACCTGAATGAAGCTTTCCCCCGTTGCTGCGGGATAGGTGAAGTAGGGAGTCTAGCCCCCAGATTTTTAATATCCGCTTAATCAACCTCGCCCCTTTCTTCCACCTCCATTCTAGATTAGCCGAGTTCGCCAATATCCATGTTTACGTCCCTCCGCCCGCGCATTCTGATTTGAGCGCGTCCTTTTCTGAGGTACACGATGCCACGTTTTCCCTTAATATAGAGTCAAGATAATATATGTCTTCTCGTTTGCGTTGCAGCAACCTATCCCCCCTCCCTATTTCACCGCCCACCTAGCGTTAACCAAGGTAGCCTGGACTTCGCTAGAGCCAAGACGGTAATATGGATTACCTGGTTTTACGGCTCTGGAAGAGTTCGACACTGAGGGGGGGCCGTGGCTTGAAATATCTCCGGACTGGCGAAGCTTTTACCAAGGTGGAATGCTCCGTTTTCCCACGGGAATGCAATTGCTTTCACTTCTCTTTCCTATTATTACCTCTTTCAAGACTCGGGGTCTCAAAGCTAGAAAAGAACGGCGATTGCGCGATTCCTTCCTAGGCTCGGGAAATACTTTTGTTCTACGACTGACTTGAAGCGTGGAAAATAAAAAGAATGATGCTTACATCCCTTATACCTGCTCTGTTGGCACTTGCCAGCGGAGCTTCTGCGGCTCTCAATGTCACAGGTTCGACATGCACGGTAACACCTCTACCAGTTGGGGGTGGCCAGGAGCCGGACGATACACCGCAGATCCTCGATGCTTTTAAGCAATGCGGGAAGGACGGCAAGATCATCTTGACAGAGGGTTCATTCCATATCGGTAAGGTGATGGACATTAAAGACCTGAGCAATGTAGATGTTGAGATCCACGGTACGCTACGATGGTCCTCGAACATCCAGTACTGGCTGCAGAACAGTATCGGAGTCGAGTATGCGCAGCGGTCCACGGCCTGGCGTATTGGTGGCCAAGATATCAGCATCCGCGGCTTCGGCAAGGCGCTATTTGACGGCCAGGGTCAGCTCTGGTACGATGAGAACCGCGGCGGAAGTAACCAGGCCGGACGACCGATCAGCTTAACGCTCTGGCATGCTAAGAATGTTTTAATCGATGGGATCACTTGGAGGCAGAGCCAGTTCTGGCGTAAGTTATTCCCGCTCTTCCTTAGTATTTGCCAATAGTATCTTGAAGTTGAAGGATGGGTAAAGGGGGAAGAGGGCTAACATAACATTAGACACCTTCGTTGCGTATAGCGAGAACATCACCATGACGAACTTAGATATGAACTCGACCAGCAACAGCCAATGGAGTACCGTGAACACTGACGGGACCGATACCTGGAACTCGAAGGACGTCTTTATCAAGAACTGGACAGTGACCTGCGGCGATGTAAGCTCCCCTCCCTAATATCCCTATCATCTTTTACCCCTATTCCCTTGAACACAAAGTACCTAAGGTACTGAACCAAACCTCTCACAGGACTGCATAGCCATCAAAGGCAACAGCACCAACATCCAAGTCTCCGACGTGCACTGCTACGAGTCCGGCTGCGCAACCATCGGCTCTCTCGGGAACAACCCCGGCAACGCGCCCGACTTCGTGCAAGACGTAACCTTCAACAACATCACCTGCACGCACAGCTCCAACGCGGCCTGGGTCAAGACCTACAGCGGCAACGGCCTCGTGCGCAACGTCACCTTCTCCAACATCCGCGCCGAGAACGTCAACCAGCCCATCTACGTCACCTCGTGCATCTACACGGCTCGCGGCTGCGACCAGAGCCGCCTGCCGATCCAGGACGTGCGCTGGATCAACGTCACGGGGACGAGCCGGTATAATATCGCGTCTGCGATCCACTGCTCGGCTAGTAGTCCTTGCTCGGGGTTTAGTTTCGACAACGTCGAGATCACCCCGCTGGATGGGAAGAGCACGCCCAAGTACTTGTGCAGTAATATCCAGGGCCAGGCTGAGAGCGGCATCCCCTGCACGGGGACGTGCCCGGCTGATTGGCCGCAGCAGCTGAGTGGAAACCGCTGAGTTTTATCGTGGAAGCAGATGATGGGATGATGGGATGCTGGAAGGGGAAGTTGAGAGGAATTCCTGTCTGGGATATATTTATCGTTATGGGCAACTGGAAGCTATCCTTGTGCCTGTTAAATTAAAAGCTTCATACCCAAGAATTCGCCATAACCATGTCTCATTACTCGTCACTATAAATCTAGTTTCATTTCATTCATCTTCGTCACACATAAGCAGCGTGGTCTCATACCCTCCCTGCCTTGCCTTGCCATGCCATGCCATGCTAGCCTATCCCCTCAATCTATATGATCGCGCTCATCTATTCATTTTCATTATAATGGCCTTCCTTACTCCCATCTCTGCCACTCTCTAACCGCCTGGTCAAGCTCGGCTTCAACCCACTCCGCACCGAAACGATGCGGGTCGAGTCCCGCGATCCTGGCCTGGTACTCCTGATCTTTGACCCTGCGCTCTCTGACCTTGGCTTCCAGATACCTCATATCGTTATGTCGCACGGCCCACTGGAAAATTTGGCGCATGCGGTCCGAGTATAGCTGACAAGCGGCCAGCGGGAGTAACTGGGGGTTCTTGTGGAAGTTGGCCGCAATGGAGCTACTGTCGCGTTGGATCATAGGCCAGACCACTTCCCCGAAACACTCCTCGCAGACCGTAAAATCGGGAATCGATCGCATCGTATACCACTTGCCGTTCTGGATCGGGGTGTCGCGAGCGCATTCGGGAACGGCCGTCAGGTCGCGAAGTCTATCGGCTAAGGCCTGGACGTCTGGCGTGCTCTTAGTTATTAAGGCCTTATCGGCCGCTGCCTCTAAAAGATCGAAATAGAATAGAAATCTTCGTTCATTATCTTGGTGCATCGCACAGACGCCCCTTGTAGCTTCGGCCGGGGAGTCCATAGGCACGAAAAGGCCCGTTAGATTCGGAAGTAAAACCTCGACGGTCTTCGCACAAGTGTAGCAGGCGGTAAAGCTTTCAAGAGGGTGTCCCGAGCGGGGATCTTTGACCGAATACCAGATCCGGGATGTTTCTCTCGCTCCCGAACACGGCTGGCTCTTGGCGGTGACGTTTGCGATATTTCGAAACATGGCTAGGTCCGCCATTCCATATTTTCTTGTTAGAAAATACGCGATGTGGTAGTATCGAGACGTCCCGAAGTCGCAGACGATATATCGGTCTGTCGAACGGAACGGTGCCGGAACGAAGTGATGCGCAAACTCGGTTTGAGAAAATGTGGCCTCGTAACACGACGGACAGATATCGAAGTTGTCGCAACGAGGAAGTGTTAGCCAATCCACGTGTCCTTTGGTTGGTTGCCTACGAGGGCAATCGCGCATACTAGGGAGTTCGCCAGCTTGCACCTCGTCGAGATATCTTTTATACGGGGGCATAGAATAACTTTTGCTGGCAAGACTCCTTGGAGAACTGGATTCTACCGGCTGGCGTACGTGTCTCTGTGGACTCGTCGACAATGCCGATGTTGACGAGCGAGGATCTTGCTGGAAGGATCCTGCTCTAGGTGGTGGAAGTATACCCGACCTGCGAGGATCAGTGGGAGAACCAGAATGTACAGCTGCAGCTGCAGCTGCAGCGGTTGCGGCTACGGCTGCGGCCGCAGCAGGAATTATGATCGGAGCGGAAGATTTATGCTCGGATCTCCCCGTAGAGGAACGGGACAATGAATTACGAGAGCGATGTTCGCTTCGTGAAAATTTAATATCTTTTGGGAACGTAGAGCTGCGCGGATTAGATGAAGGCGACTCCCTCTCATAGACTTGGGAGATTCTTGAGGATGGAAGCGGGGAGGCGCCTCGAGATCTTCGATCGCCACTGGGTCTTATTTCTGCTGGGCTTTGGAGGTAGGATCTTCCGTCAGTAGACACGACTGATTCTCGATGACGGCGGGGACGAGCTCGATATGATGCGTCTTCGTCACTCGAGTATATGTATTTACTATGAGGCGGGACTTCTGGTCTTTCTTCAGAATTGGATGAGACCTGAGACGCCGTATCTCGTTCATGTTGCTTACGGTTAGTATCGTCAGCTCTCGGCGACCGAAGCTCGGCGTACGGCGGAGGATTCTCATAGCCAGCCTTCGAGGATGTCCGCACATGTTGAGGGATATCCGCAGTCGAGCGTCGTTTGTGATGAGTAGGACTTGTCGACTTGGCCGATTTGAGAGGCTTATCTCTATTTTTCCTATCATCTCGAGGACTCTTCTCATACTCAACATTACGATGAGCTGAGCGGTTGCGATTTTGGGAATAAGAATCTGAGCCCCCTTGGTAGTATGCTCGATCTCTTCCTCTGCTAGCATGTTCTATAACATCTGGAGACAGCGTACTACCGCTCTGAAGCCGAGAATGATGGCGGGGAGAGAAGTAATTCTCGTCACCTTTCTCGGATCTTGTCGTAGATTTCGATCTCCTCGTATCAGATTTCCGGGAATCAGGCTCGATGTCTGTAGTTATAGTAGGTAGTTGTTCCAATTTACTGCGACGTCTCTCACGGTTTGGCCGCGTGTCCGATTTAGCTTCGGGCGATTCTTCGCGACGCGCGCGCGCCTCATATTTGCGACCGGTGTTCGCCTCATAAGAGGTAGGCTCGGCTTCGGGTTCGGGCTCGGGTTTTGAATCCCTAGATCTGGGTCGCCTCGGTAGCTGCTTAGCATTTTCCGAGGAATCACCTGTAGAATCGGACGAGGTCGGAACTATAACAAAGCGCCTCTCGGGATTATATTCATGCACAGGGAGAAGAATAGGCTGCTGGTCGATATCCCCCCTGTGTATTG